CTCCTAAGTTGCCCTCATTGTAATCATTGCCGCCGTAGATCATTATGCCACCCAAGAGCTGTCCATTAATAGCTACTTGCTAAGATAGAGCTAATCGAACAAATGTAAACAGACAGCATAATATAAGATAACACGAACGACATGCGCGTCGGCCAGCGACACACCAGTAACTTCTTTCCCCCCCCCTCCCGCCGACGATCGGTCCGCCGCGACGTTCGACGAACGTCGGCCAGATTATGCGACGCGACGACGACAAACGAGAATAACATCGCCCCGATACAGCGCGCGCCGCCCGCCACCACCGCCGCGAACCGATCCTGACGCCCGGGTTTTTGCCTTTTTAAAGTATCACGGAAACGAGACACGCGGCGGGCGCGCGCGTGCCGCCAACCCGACGCAATCGAGGCGCTCGCGTTTTTCAGCTGCCGATAAAACACGCAGCGCGCTCACGCGAAAACTCCACGCCGCACCAGACACCACAAGTGCGTCGCACGGCCACTTCCCCGCTGCTGCTGCTGTGTCGTGATGTTCCTACGTTACTGCTGCTGTTCTACTGCTTATGCTGCCCGTCCGCCCCGCCCGGCTGCTGCTGACTTCCCGACTACGATCGTGAATGACCTGCACGCCCTCATCCCGCACGCCGCCGTCCTCTCCTCCGCGCACGATGCAGACAGCAGGCGCCGAGCGTGCAGTGTACGTGGGTCGATGTGCCCGTTGCGCTCGTGCGTGGTGCGTGCGTCGCGGCGTCTTCGCTTCACGAGTTTGCAGCATCACGCAGCCAGTAGCGCAGAGCGTTCAATAGTAGCTTAGCAGTAGTCACAACGCCCAGTAGTAGTAGCAGCACAACATCCAGACAATACAAGCACAATAGCAAGCAGCCAGCACGGCAGCCAGCCAGCAGCAGCAGCACAGCAAGCAGCCACAATAGCAAGCAGTAGTAGCACTCAGCAGCAAAGTAGTAGCATAAACACAGCAATCTATAGCAGCTTCAAGTAGCCATCAGCAGTACGCGTCGTAGCAGCCGTAGCAGCAGCCAGTACAGCAGTCGTAACAACAGTCAGCGCAGCAGCTATATAATATTATAGTTGACACAAGCAGCAGCAGCATCCATATAGCAGCACGTAGCAGTAGCAGAGCAGTGCATACACGCAGTCCGTACAGCACAGCAACAGCCAGCGCAGCAGCAGCACAGCAGCCAGCAGCAGCACACAAGTACAGCAGCCAGTAGCCAGTAGCGATATAAAGTGCATCAGCAGCACGTAGAGTAAAACTCTCTCTCTCTCTCTCTCTCTCTCTCTCTCTCTCTCTCTCTCTCTCTCTCTCTCTCTCTCTCTATATATATATATATATATCCCACAATGTCATCATTGATGAGCGAGCAGCCACGACCCTGGATGTTATTCCGAATTCAGTGTAAACTGTGACACAAACAGCAAACTATGTGAACATAGATTCTCGTCACTGTATTGTTTGGGCTCTTCTGCCATTAGTATATATATACGTATATATATATATATATATATATTCATAGCACTTCAAGTACTGCTGCCAGCTATTATCACGTGCTTCTCATCACCTAGTATTATAATTTTGCAGTGTCTGTGTTTTCTGTTTCAATGATTTTTGCACTAATGTAATGTAATAAAGCATATGCCAAAATCTTGGCAAAGTGTGAGGCTTACATGCGGTTACGGCATCTGACTTTACCATCAGCATTAACCGAACGGAGCCCGACGACTAAACAGAAGGGGTTTCCAGCAAGTCAACACCAACATATGGTCACCAACTTGATAGGCAGAACTAGCACATTTTCCATCAACGGCAGCTGCAATTTGTCATTGTCGTTTTCACTCGATTCCGCCTGTCAAAAAACTGTCGACCAAGTGCTGAAAAAAATGGAACTGATATTTTGTCCTGATGGTAATAATTGCAACAAGCGTGCTCAGCTCACGAGTAGACACGGCAGCTGGCATGACATCTGATTGGGCTATTATAGCATAGTGGTGACATCTGGTGTAGGAATATAGCTATTAACTAATGAAAAAATATTTTATATTGGATTTATCAACTATTTATAACATAAAAAAATTCAATATTATACTGTGTGAGAAGTATAGTACCCAGTCAGGCACCCAGTAAGAGCTGCAACCACGGAATGCAGCTCATTTATTCATTAGGCTTTTAATCGACTTTCAAACTATTGTTTTGCGAGCCACAAAAAAACATAACTCCCTCAGTCAGCGTGGGGTAGACCGTCCATACCTTTTAGCCCATCTACCTCGCATCATCTTCATGCGTAAAAAAAAAGAAGTTAATAATTGACGGAAAAAAACTAACGAAACCTCATCGCAGTATAACGGTCAGATGACTACGTATTACTGCACGGTGGCGCCACCCAGTGTGCTTTCCCGGGGGAATTTTGTTAATTTATTTTGGCATCGTAGTAAATGGGACAGCGCTGTAAAAACTGAGGTTATTAGAGCTTACATGGCTGTAGAAGGACTGCGCGATACTTTCCTGCGCTACATTATTTAAAACCAATTTCTATTACAAAGCGAGCATCCCTCTCATATCTCAGCAGGTCTCAACTTTCCAGATTTCCATCTATCAATGCACATCCAGAACATCTTAGGTAGGATAATTCACCGAACACTTCTCTGCACAAAGACAGCGGTTCCCAGGATGCTAACCCACCTTATTACCTTAATCGCTAAGTTAATAACTGAATGGAATCAAGTGACGAGCCGATCAAACCCTAATATGGCCCTACAGTGGACCTGCATCCTGCATAAATGGTCCATGCCTCTGTCCACATGCCCACCTCCTTCAACATCGTGTTGTAAACTCGCAACAGATCCTCGTCGATTTAAAACCAAGAACTAAAATAAGATAATCTACATCCGCTAGTACGTGCGACTATACGTTGCTATAATTTTTCCATATTCCGCATGTTTAAGCAATGACTTCGAAATCAGTCCTTTTCTATCATGCGGTGTCAACTCGCAACAGCTCCTCGTAGATTTAAGACAACGCCAAAAACAGCGGCATTAAACACAACGGAGAGCAGGGTATTAGCCAGGAATGAGTATTGTGGGAGTGCAAAAAAAATATTTGGGAGTGCAATTTTTTTGTATTGTGTGTCTTTAGATCAATATTTTAGGCCGTGCTACACATTTTTGGCCGTGCAGTTTCAAAACTGACCGTGCAAATCACGGCTGCACGACTCGCTGGCTAATACGGAAAAGGAAAAAAAGACACGGGGAATCGCCTACTCTCGTCGCTACCTCAACCGATGCACATGACTCACCCGGCACTAAAGATGGACCTCCACCACCAGCGGTAGTCCTCCGTCGACAGCTGGAAGTAGGTGAGCGCGATCGAGACGCACATCGTGACGCTGATGAGGATGCCGAAGACGACGAACAGGACTCCGTACAACGTGTACTGCTCGCGACCCCACACCGTCGCGAAGATGTAGTACAGCTCCACCGAGATGGCACTGTGTGCGGAGCAAGAAACGATCGCTGACGCTCGACAGTCGGTCGTGAGGCGCAATGGCGGGGGGGGGGGGAGATCTGGAGGTAGATCTAGTCGTGAGGCGCGGTGGTGGCAGGGGGAGGGGAGGTCCAATCGTGAGGTGTGGTGGCGGCAGGGGGAGGAGGGAGGGGAGGTCCAATCGTGAGGCGTGGTAGCGGCAGGGGGAGGAGGGAGGGGAGGTCCAATCGTGAGGCGTGGTAGCGGGGCAAGGAGGGGCAGACCCAGTCGTGAGACGTGGTGGCAGGGGGAGGGGCATATCCAGTCATGAGGTACAATGGTGGGAGGGGCATATCCAGTCATGAGGTACAATGGTGGGAGGGGCAGATCGTCGCCAGTCGTAAGGTTGGAACCCGCCCACCCATCCACTCTCTTGTGAGTGCAAGTCAGGAGCTCGCTGCCAGAAACATCGTAAGTAGTTACGACATCATGAGTATAAAGTGTCATAAGATTTTATGTGAACTTCTAAAGTTATGACAGTTCACATTTATGAAGGTTATAACTATTCATGTTTCTGACTACAGGCACCTGATTTCGATATGTGGCAAAAACTAGTCTTGGTTGAAATGGAATTAAAAATATAAATTACCTATTGAGATGCTTAGGTTTACTATGATATTTCTCTAAAAACATGTGGGGTGTCAATGCAAGCCCACATTGCTTTGCATTCACTGGACCCTCCCTTCTAGAATACCTGGATGTACCCCTGCATAAGAATTTATATTGTCTAGAATTCCGGGGTCTGTTGTCAGCGACACTCTGTATAGTTATGACATCACACGTTAGGACATTTTGGAGTCGTGACAGCCATAAGTCTAAAATGACATTTCTGACAATGGGGCCCTGACCTATTTAGCATGACAGGAATACTGACTAAGAAGCCATTGAGATGGAAATATAGACAAAAACTGGTATTCATCGGTAGGGTAAGACACGAGCTAGCAAACTTTACTAAAACTGCCTACAGTGCCCAGGGAAAAAATAAAATTTATTTTTCGGGGGCTACTTTTCAAGCTCGCGTGCATAAAAATAGCACTCTAAAATTTGGTTTGCATTGAACTCTATGCAAATTTACGGGGGCTCTTTTTTGAATTTCCGGGGCTCTTTTTTGCATTTCGGGGGCTAAATCGCCCCGAGCCCCCGTGTATTTTTTTCCCTAACAGTGCCTCTATAGGTTATTATATCAATCCGAACCTTTAAAGTATTGTTTAAAATAATTACATTGCAGATTACATATACGATTATTGAAGAAAGGCTAGGAATGACTTGATAGCTGACATACAAGGAAAAAGAGATTCATGAGCAATACTGCTTATATATAATTACAGCCGCCATGTCTAACAGAACCCTCTTGCAGAACACACAGCAAACTTGGCTTACTGATGATCACCTCACAAAAATAGCAGCTTTGCAAATGAATTAAAAAACCCAATCATATTATGAAGTATATGTAGTATATGTAGTATACCTGAACGGCAAGAAGCCGCCAATCAACATGTGTGCAAACGCAGACCTGTACCAAGGAACCTCGGGTAGTTCACGTGGAATATTCTTCGTTCTGCACGGCGCATCAAAACCACCGGCGAAATTCTTCCCGAAAATGCCTCCGAGTACAGTTAGAGGATACCCGCCTGAAAATGTAGCACATAATTTAAACAAAGCAGTTACGTAGAAAGTAACAATTTTTGATAACAAATGGCTATGTTACATTCCACCACATACTAATATTATGAACAGCACACGCATGCACGCTCACACATATTTCTACACAGTAATACCGCGTGTTACGTAAGTAATGCGTTCCAGGAAAACGTTTGTAATATGAAAATCTATAATCTCGAGCATGTTTTCTAATTGACTTCCATTATATAATTGGGGAGGCGTTCCTATGGAAAACGTTTTAGGTAGAAGATGTACTAGCAGGGCAGTTATGAATGCAAGTAAACGTTTTTAGAAACTGCATCAGCTTCTAACATACCAAAGATCCACATGGCTCCGAGCAGAATAATCGTTGTTGCTGGCAGGGCTTGTGTGGAGTGGTATGCCCAGGCTACAGTGTTCTCAACACTCCATATCACAAAGAACGGCGCTAAAAATACAGCATCTATACCAGTCACGACTATCTACTGTCTTAATAGCACCAGGCATATTTCCCATACATAATTTCTTATTTTCTTTCGTATTCCATACTTTCCTCATCTTAATATTTCTCCATCATAATAAACCACTACTGCAATAAAAGTTTGATATAACAGTTGTATTGGTATATAAATAATTAGTGGCACAGAGTGACAGCGCTTATCTGATAATGAGCTGAGACAGAGGGAGACAGAGAAGGGGAGAGAGAGAACAAGAGAACGAGAGAGAGAGAGAGAGAGAGAGAGAGAGAGAGAGAGAGAAAGAGAGAGAGAGAGAGAGACGAAGAGGAGGAGGACGAGAGAGACGAGAGAGAGAGAGAGAAGATAGTGAAAGCGAGAGATAGAGGGAGAGGAGAGAGGGAGAGAGAAGAGAGAGGGAGAGAGAGAAAGGGAGAGAGAGGGAGGAGAGAGAGAGAAGAGATTTTGAGCTAAAAACATGTAAACAGCTTTGAATTTATGTTACAGATTTAATAAAAGGACAACTTACCACCAAAGAGGCATGTTGTCAGGTTGACGTTCCACACCCAGTTTTCACCATTCATTCTCTTATACATTCTAGATGACACATATCCTGCTATCCCTGGAAAACAATCAATTTGTATTTAAATACGTCCACACGTAGACGTGATTGTAAAAATACATCGGGAAAGCAGATGTACTCAGTCTGTAACACTACACGGCACATTCATATATGAAAAATTATAAAAATATATAAGATAATTATGTTCAGGTACATACGATACAAGTGCCGCATAGCGACAGGGCTCATCTGGTGTCTGGTGTTCTGCTGATAAATTCATTTGTGCATAGCAAGACGTCCTATACATACGTCATTTCTAACCCCAAAAAAACAACACTTCAAACTAGGTGTTAATAAAATTCGATAGATGGCGGGCCGCTATCAAAGCCATCGTTGCATCGGTCAGCAACAAGTATTGTAGCAATGCAGCCGTTCAGTGTGCCGACGAATTGCAAAAGCAGGAGCGAATAATTACCATATTATTACTATACATAACGTGCGTTCTATGGGTCAGGTAATAAGCGTACATTAAAAACCCCTTGCGAGGCACATCTGCCGCTCGTTAAAAATAGCTCAATGGTTGATACGAACCAGAGGCAGAAGCAGCTCCTGCAAGATTACAATTTAACAAGCAAATACGAATAGCAACATATCTCTAAACTAATTTCAGTTACAAGGTAGCGCCAGTGATTAGTGGACCGAATAAGACTCAAGAACAACGTACACACACTTGACGTCTATAATTGCGTGCCAAAATTTGATGAGAAAACTTAAGTCTGCGAAATCCGCAGCGCCCTCAGCTCCTGGGTAATTATGCAGTGCTAGTGACTGTATCCAACTAATTTCATAATGCTACACTACAGAATCTATATATAAATCATTGTCCATTATCTCCTAAGTAGAAGCGTGTTCAAGAAGAGTTATGTTAGTGGAATTTCACGATAAAATGGGAGCTTTCCACCCACCAGGGTACTCGCCACGCAGTTGAGAGAAAACAAATCCATGTAAACCCTCCTCCTTGAGGGTCAAAAGTGTATGCCGACACTTACTCTTCGGCATGTCAGCGGAAAAGTAAGCATTTCATGGTCCTTTCAATAAAGCCATAAAAGCTAGGTCACGCTGAAACAAAAAAGTTTTTTCAATCGCCTCCATCAAGACCATGTCCTCAGAAAATGTCTAAAATTTGCCTGTGCCCCATTTACGCTTGACCCGTGACCTCCAATTTCGGCACAGTGATGGCTTTTCCTACATTGAGCCTTATACAACCGGACTATCACGAGCCGTAAGGTCGAGCCTTTAAGATTTGTGCCGCCATTCTGCCATTTCCTCCCTATACCTTACAGTTAAGGAGGAATGTTCCCCTTCTTTGTAACTCTTGACCTTTGACCCTTTGACCCCCAGGCCTTCGACATCCCAACTCGTTTTGACGATCGCCCCTACATCCCCCAATATCGGGGACCGACAATAAGCGACGTTAAAATTTGTGCCCAACTGTTGACGCACGGACGGACGCACGCTCATGCGATTCTACAAGCTGCATCTGACTATGTCAGATGAGCTAAAAAACCAAGAAGCCTTCAATTGAATAAGTAAACTTACAAGAAGTGAAAGCGTAGAGTATCACGGAGGCGGTGTTCATTGATCCATGTTTGTGAACATTGAAAAGGCCACAAAGAGCCATCAGTAAGATGCCAGTTGCTAATGCCAAGAACTGAGCTCCTACACCTACAAATTCAACAACCATGATTACACACACGTGTCACCAAGCAATCCAACTACTTTTATAGTTTAGTTAAGTGTGTTTCCTTAACTTGTTTACTGTTGAACGTTTGCACAAACTTGAAGAAATATAATTATGATTTACATCACACTAATGTATGAAACTATTGCTTTTTTCTGTTGCTGAACAACAACAATAACACAAATTAAAACACGTATCAAACGTTGCTGATCAGTTAACCCTAACACAAGGCTGTATAAGGAAACCCATGTATAAGCAAACCCATGAAAATGAACAATTATGATCAATCACAACTAGCTGAACAATGAGTGTGTGTGGCTGCAGAGGGAGCCACGTTACCTAGGATAGAGCAGAAGAGTGACTTGTAGCGAGGGAAGCGGAACACATCGGTGTGAATCGTCTTCCAGCCGTTATCGTCCTGATCCAAGTCATCCAACTCTTCATCGTCCATGTTGTAGCGAGCAAAGTCATTCTTCAGCACTCTCGTCTAAAAAACACAACACAGACATTAGGGGGAGGTATGGGCATATCATTCAGGTGGTTAATCTAGCAATCAGTAAAATGCAGAGGGATCAGGTGATGAGATTATTATTTATAAAACTACCAATTTTAAATAGATTACACATTTTTACTACAGCTGATAATCTGACATTTGTGCTAGCATCAATGACGCACATTATCAAAGTCATTTAGCTATTATACACGTAGCATGCAAAATAACCATTTCATATAGAATGTTGTGGAAAATTAAAGCATTGTTGTTGGGCTGGCAAAAAAAGTTGTTAAAAAGCCATGTGCTGTGCAGTCAAACTAAGCCAGCACGGTTACATGATATAGACATCATTGTTAAAACAGCGGACAAACTACTGCTGCCAAAGTTTACAAGACCGATAGAATTACTGAGACTCACCAATATAATTACGACGAAACCGATTAGCAAAAAGACGAGAACCATCGAGTTAATGATCGACAGCCAGTGAATCTGGAAGAAACAAGAAACACATAATATCGCGCCGGGAACGCCTCACTAAAAAACACCTCAGCCTTGGTACTAGCAAAATTCTGATAGATGATACCATTCTATCTTTCTCAGAAATACCGAGCAACATAAAGTCAGTGTTTGGAATATTTATGTATTCTTGTAAGTCAGTATTGCAATGCTTGCAGAACAGCAAATCTACAATAAGGCTAACATGTCTTAGAACACTCGTACATCGTTACATTCATCACCAATGTGAGCAATGATTGAAGTTTTCTTGATGATTTCTCATTGTTAGTTATTTGTTCATGTCACGTGATGAAAAGATTATAAACTAGTTCCCTGTGTCAACACTTTGTTGATAGTAATTTGTGTAACGTAATGGAGACAGGGGTGCCACTATATAACCACTTACGTCACAGAATCATATGCACTTTTGTCAGAAATAGATGCACCTATGTCTGTGGTGCTACTTAAACAACTGTCATGACATTGAAGAATGTAGCTGCATTATTTGCTATTTTATATACTATAGCAGCATAAATCCTTCGCAAACTTAATCCAAGTTACTGTAATAAGTAGCCTATATCAGATAATAGGTGAGATTATATTTCAATGCATGTTTTCAGATTTTGGATGTATTTAAGAGATGATTACTTTAGTGTAAGCCACATCAGCTGGTACTCGTAGGGTATAGGTTTTACTCATATAGGAAGTACTCTGAATTACACGGCCCCGAAACACATTAGTTCAATTTAGTTGTGGTTCAAAAATAACAAACGACCTTCATAACTACACCTAAAAGATTATAGCAGCATGTGCTGACATGCTCAAACGGCCATCAACTACCATAGACAAACTGATAATCAGGTAATTTAACCTGATACCACAATGCACACAGTTGGATAACATATTTTCAGTTGCACAGCTAATACACAATATGTACCTCGAGTGTTTTAGGGAAAAATCTATTATCGCTCAGTCGCTTGGCTCTCTGCTCATACGGTAAACTGAAAAATGCAAACACAAATCTATTATTCAACGGTTAGATACAAAACCAAACTCTATATTATGAATGTGAAGATAATAAATAAAAATGATTAAAGTAGAGTGTCGCAACCTAACAGGCAGGGGACAGAGATTCCACCTTCACGTAGACACACTTGATGTTTGTCAAGGTAAGAACAGTATTGAGAAGACGATATGTAACTGAAAACATTTATCAATGCTTTCAGGTTAGTGTGGAGTTGTAACATCGCCAACTCGCAAAGTGAACTGGTTCTTCAAGCTACAGCCTTCACATCCATCAGGTCTTAATGACAAACGAGCTTAACTGCTTAGATTTCTAATAATCAAACCATTGATTTGAATGACTCTAGTTGCTGGTTAGCTTCTCCCTTTCCCCAGCTGTATGCAGAATAATAATACCAGTGCAAATTTAGATGGCAACCTTGATAAAACAAACATGGCTACCTTGGTAAATTTCCAAATGAACAACCTACATCTATATTTTAATAATTGGACTATATAGGTTATTATTCAACAAGTAGATTTCTAATACATAAAGCTAAGTATCTGAACATGGGCAAGACCAGGACTATGAAACACTGAATAATAAATTATTGGGTCATAAGAGACACATATGAATGCATGGCTACATTTATAGAGCATTAAACCACAACCATTAATATTTTGCAACATCACAAAATGAAATATAAAACAAGACAATTCTACTGAATCATCTTATCAACTCCAGAGATGTCACCAATTGAATATCAAGTCCTTCCTGTATGAATGTGTGAAAGGAAAGTTACTAAGGAACCAAGCAGTATTGACAGGGCTTTGTAGCCAGTCAAATACTGAGACATGTTCAACATAACCGGATAAATACACATAGAGGACTTACTCTGTTTTAAACCATTTAACACTGTATGTAAATGTGACATTTATTGAGCCATGAATATCCTCATCCATTTTCACAGGCTGGTGCTCTTTCGTTGAAACATTAACCGCTATGATCTGAAAGATTTTTTTTAAATACACTTATTAATTCCTCTGGAAAATATTAGCTCTTATAGTACAATTATAAAGTACGACTTAAATTCTTAAGTTAATCTACAAAGACAGAAGAACGAACAAGCAGGTAACAAAATACCCACATAATTTTACACTAATCGATTTATGCCACATCTTCAAAGCTCATAAATGCGTTATGTAATTCAATTAATGTAGCTGGTAAGGCAATTAACAAATGTAATCAATATATAATTACAGTATTTTTGCCAAACTACCATAACGGTCAGTGACATTACAAGCTCAACGCATAGCATGGATGAAGGAGATAGATGTATCACATCTCACGCACCTGATCTCCATTGTATTCGATATTAAAATGCAAGTGCACCCACAAGTACACCTCATGGTGATGAGGAAGGAAGCTTCCCTCCTCCAATCTCCCTATGAAGCCACGCAGAGGAAGCTGATCTGAAAAGCACAAGCGATTACAAAAACCTGTTCACTGTAGTCTAACATGTTACACGTCTCTACATGTGAATCGCCACACTATTCTACATATATAATTATATATATATATATATTTGTTTATTTATTTATACTTTTATATAGGAAATGAAGGTCAGATGTCAATACTGAAGAAAGCTCTTACTAAAGAAACCAGCACTCACCTATAGCAAATTCAAAGTAGTAGAGATCCTCTATGGCTGATCTCAGCTGCTGTACATCAGCTTCCTTTAGCACTACTTTGCACAGTGTCTTTCTCTCTTCGTCTTCTACAAATTGTAAAGAAACATGGTAAGATAAACTAATCAGTTTCCATTATATCACCACAACAGTGAAAAAAATACAAGGGGGCTCGGGGCGATTTAGCCCCCGAAATGCCAAAAAGAGCCACGGAAATGCCAACAAGAGCCCCCGTAAATTTGAATGTAGAGTTCAATGCAAACCAAATTTTAGAGTGCTATTTTCATCCACGCGAGCTTGAAAAGTAGCCCCCGAAAAATAAATTTTATTTTTTCCCTGCACCACAAGAATATAAATAAAGGTTGGCTGCTTTATTGTGCTTAGAATTCTATAGGTAACATACTTGCGAATTCAAATCAATTTCAAATTTCTATCAAATTACTGACTCTTTATTGTGGTTCCTCTTACTTTTAAATAGAATTTCGTATAAGGACACCGCCATACGATCTCCATCCAACACCTCTCCCAGAGATAGACTCTTGTGCTCTATCTGCAAAGACAACATAAAGGAGTTATTCGAATATATATAGAATAGTCCCAAAATATTGAAACAACAATTATTTAACATTTCTCATAATACTTGCAAGTACGATGGATCATACGTCCTGTTTAAACTTTTATATCACATTGCAAGGAGCTCACCTGTCATTATCTCACAACTCACCTGGGATATGTTATGAAAATGCATACGTATCACCAGAAAAGATTATTTCCTGTCCTGATACACCTCTCCCTTAAGATAAACCCTACTGAACCATATACAATATATATTTAAATGTAGCAATCGTTATAATCTCACCTTTTCAGGTCTGCAGACAGGCAGTGAATAATAGTGGTATGTCTCATGAGGGTTGAAATATGGCCCTACTTTGTTGACATACATTACAATCTGCAAATAATATTCAATTTAAATACTAAAATTTAATATAAAAAATGCAACATGCATATATAGGTGAGGTGAAATATACTATAACACATCTATACAGATTGAAAAAAAAATTGGACTTGTGTAGCTCAATCTTTTTAGGATGGTTTAGTATGGATGAAATTATATGAAGGCATCATGTGCACCTTGTATATTAATTAACAACAAAGTTCATAGATTAGTATCAATTGAATATTTTTGTAAGGTAAAATATTATATATAAATATATATATATATAATTTAATTTACTAATTACACGTTTTTATTATTATTGTGAAATAGAAAGTGTTGTTCAACATGTATGTTAAATTAATTTGAACGTGTATGTGTAATTAATTACCACAAATATGTAGCAAAATTTTGCACAGCTAGAGATAATGCATGATTGCTCTTCCGTTCTGTGTAGCCTAATTAAATTACAACGGTCGAGAGAAATTAAATTAAGAGATTCAAGCAGTGCTGGTGCCACCTACTGTAACATTACAATCATGGTATTTAGCCATCGAAATCCTTCCACAACACTGTGCAAGTATACAGTAGATTGATCCAAAGTCCTTTTGCACAAGGTGCCGAAATGCGGCACTTATGTAATGACGGCAGCATGGAATCAGTCAAGGCATACAGCTTAATGACAGCAGTGTGGGTAAACATTGTACTGTATTAGTGTCAATGTGATATGGTCTAGCCTGCTTCTCTACGTAATTAAATATCTGTGCTTGATGGATAAACAATTAAAATAGCCATTTTCTTTGCCGCGGTAGTGAAGTGAGGTGTTTTCTGCTAGTTATTAATCCAGTCAATCTGAAGAATGGGAAAGGTGCATTTTCCATCCTTTTTAGTAAACAAGTGGAAACAAGTGAAAACCAATCAAAATTATTAAATACTGTTTATAATAAATAAGATTTCATTATAACAAGCATAAATTGGTGGTCCCAATGACCTCAATATAAAGGGATTTGCATGTAGTCTAATTTTGCTACAAACAAGAAGGAAAATAAAGAAATGCGTAAAAGATTTATATCCTGTTTGCTTAGTTTTATTGATTGATTGTTGCACAAAAAGAGACATGATGATGATAATGCTGATTGTGACAATGATAATGATGATGTGGTGGTGGTGATGATTTTGATGGAGATGATGATGATGATGGTAATTATGATGACGATGATGATGATGATGACGACGACGACGACGAGTGTTGATGGTGATCATGAATTCATGATTGTGATAAAGATGGTGATGATGATGATCATGGTGGTGAAGATGGCGATGACAGTGATGATGGTTAATTAACTACAATGCAACATGTAGAGAAATTTTTTTCCGGAAAACTTTGTAAATATTCTCAAAAATCAAGACTGGTTGTAGCTTTAAGTCACATGGCAAATGAACAGAAAATGTTAAACAGTCTTTCTGGACATGATACTCCATGAATACAGTGTTCAGTTCTTGCTTGGTCTTCCTTTCTTAAGTTTGTGACCTTCCAGGTCCTGGTGCTTCAGCAGTTGATACTGAGTCTGATACATCTCATCACACACTGGGCACTTGTGGTGGCTGGCCTTGTTCCGATTGGCATCTCACATTTGGCACGTACTCCACCATGGATCAGTTTGATGTGTTTCTCTTCATCGGTTTTGCTGGTGAAGATATATCTGAAAGTACAGAAAAGACAAGAGTGGATCAGTTTCTTGCTGTGCAGCATGTATGATCTGGAAGATAAACGATTTGTACCAAGAGCAAACTGTTAGGGGATGAAAATTAGCTAATGAAAAAATTAGACTTCAGAGCTAGACCTACCTGCAGTGAGTGCAACTGTTAGCTTCAAAGTTCTTCAAGTGCTTATCCGGGCTTCTAAAGACCAAGGATCTTTCCAACTGGTGAAGCGTCTTGTAATGGCCCGGGTGCTCAGGTCGGGGGTTATTGGTGGGAACAGCCACTTGTCACCACTTGGTATCTTCCACACTTTCGAAACCCTGATTTCATCTTCTCTGCACTCACATGTGGCATCTCCACAGCTGCCCATGCGGAAGCACACAAAACCACTTCTCCTGTCCATATGTTTGGAAAGGAACTTCCACTCTTCAAGGATGTCGGACAGTGAGGATCCGCGCGATGCCGGCTGGGGCGCGCGGCGCGGGAAATGGATCAACATTTTTCGGAAATGCTGAAAGCTTACGGCGGGCATTGAACCCCCTCCCCCCCAGCGTACGGTTTGTACGCTGACGAAAATGTTGATAATTGTGAACGACCCCTTACTCACAGCTTAGCTGTTGGTGTGAAAACATAGATGTCATCTGACATATATATACATTGTACCATAAAATAATTTACAATAACAAATTATAAATATCTTATGGAAAATATCGGCTTTTGTAATTTTTCTAATGTATTATGAATGCTTCTTGTTTTTGCTGCCTCTATAATTTTAATACATTTTGTTTTTTAACTTATTGTTGCTATGGAAATATACATGCACACACGCACGCACACACAATCAGCAATAACACAAGTTCAATGTATTCGCAGATGTGTAACCCAGCCAAACCCAGCCAATGCCTGCTGTCATCCGAATGCTCAAGTATTTCACATAACAGTGCAAATTTGCGTGTGACTGTCACTACACAAAAGCCTAAAACCATGTCTGACATTTGAAGCTCGATCTCCATATTATACATAGTGTCAGTGCAAGTCGGATATCCAACATATGCTTCAAAGCAATTGGTTATACCAAATGGTGTAAAATTTAATGAGATTCGTTAAATAAAACACGAGTAAACTAAGGCACGCAATTTATGAATTTTCATGTTTTGAGTGTGTCATTCTCTTCTCTAATTCAATTCATTAACTCCTGATGATGTCATGTTACTGATAGTGATACAGGGTGCAAAATTAACGGAAGACCAGATACAAATATTCCCTGATTTACTGTCGGACTCCCTGCTTTGACATATGCATGAGTCCGTGTCACAGACTCCCTGAAAATTCAGCCATACTAATACTAGTAATAGTTCGTCCCGGAGCACCGCCTTGCAGAATCACCGTATTTTTTCAGCCAATGTCCAAAGAAAATTTGGCACACGTGCAACTGCATGAATCTTAAAAATAAGCACATGCGTTATTGTTAATATTAATAATGATAATAATAATATCTTCAATTTTGAACCTCAGACTGCGGACTCCCTCTTTTTGAGGGTAGGTAGTCCGTTGGTAGTAGTAGTAGTACTACTACTACTACTACTAGTACTAGGTAAGTATAAATAATAAAATACTAAGTACTATGTTAATTATTATTAATATTAGTATATAAATTATAACTAATTCATTATTTAGTAGGTACCGTAATTAATGCTCATAGGGTCTATGTCCCCCAGGGTACTGCCGGAACGTACCCTGGGTACGGTCCGGTATACCGGAACGTACCCTGGTCACTATTTGGT